AAAGAGTTTGGCATGTGTGTTTCCATCCCTGTGTGCTTTACAACAGTGCTGATATGCATGCTAAGGCTTGAAGGCACTTTATAAAGTGTTTGGGATCTCATGTACAATGGAGTTTCCTGGTAGGAGAGCAAAGGGAGCACTGCTGGAGCCCAAGGTGAGAGGCAGCAGTGAAGCCAGCAGGCCCCAGAGCATGAGCACATGGCTGGCAATGACTGCTGTTCTTCCATCCACTAGAGCTCCCATTCTGAGACAGAAAAGACATCCACTCTTGGTGAAAAGCAGCATCATGTTGGGATGTGGGGGATGCTGCCTCTTTTCTTAGTCCTTGGCCCTCAACCTAACTGGCATTGTAGCCATGCTTTGTGAATGCTCAGGAGCAGTAGCAGCTGTTCTTGTAGACAGAAGTTTGCATGGAAAACCAATTTCATGTCCCTCTGATTGCAGAGGCCTTTTGGTGAGACCTACATACATAATGATATTCTTCCCAACATCTCTGGTCTGCAAACATGAGTTTTGAACAAACTACTGCTCCTTTGAGAAGACACACATATGCCATACACTTCTACGTGGTTAATAACAAGGCAAGACTGCTGCCATTTTTGAGGGTCTTAATGGAAAAAGTTATATAAATTTACACAAAAATGTTAATATTTTTTCTTGGTTTACTTAAAATTCTGGCACTGAAATCACATAACTCCAATACAAAAAACAATAGCTTTGGCACTGTCTCAGCCTTGGAACTAACGGCTGGAAACCCAGGAGCCCTAGTGGGGTGAGCAGCAACACCAGGGACCTTGGAAAGGAAGTGAAGACAGATTGCCATTTACAACGTGGGTATGCCTGCTACAATGAAGTGTAAGACAGCTTTTCCCAAATGTCTCAGTGACACTTAATTCCTTCGCCTCATGCATTTTAGCTGAGCAGAGAAATCCCCCAAACTGGGAAGAGCAGAGAGAAAGATGCAAAGACCAAAGAAAAGAACATGAAGAAAATCAATTCCACAGTCCACCTCCAACAAGGAGCAGTATAGAATCACAGAATCACAGAATGGCCAGGGTTGGAAGGGACCTCAAGGATCATGAATCTCCAACCCCCCTGCCACATACAGGGCCACCAACCTCCCCATTTAATACTAGACCAGGCTGCCCAGGGCCCCATCCAGTCTGGCATTAAACACCTCCAGGGACGGGGCATCCACAACCTCTCTGGGCAGCTGTTCCAGCACCTCACCAGTCTCATAGTAAAAGAGCTTCCCCCTGACATCCAACCTAAATCTTCCCTCCTTCAATCTAAAACCATTTCCCCTTGTCCTGCTGCTACCAACCCTCTCAAAGAGTTGATTCCCCTCCTGTTTGTAGGCTCCCTTTAGGTACTGAAATGCTACAATGAGGTCAGTACGCAGCCTTCTTTTCTCCAGGCTGAACAGGCCCAGCTCCCTCAGCCTGTCTTCATAGGGGAGGTGCTCCAGTCCCCTGATCATCTTTGCGGCCCTTCTCTGGACCTTCTCCAACAGCTCCCTGACTTTCTTGTACTGGGGGTTCCAGATTTGGACACAGTACTCCAGATGGGGCCTCACAAGAGCAGAGTAGAGGGGGACAATCACCTCCCTGTCCCTGCTGGCCACAGTAGGGAAATAAGAAAGCAGGAGTGCCAGAAGAGCAGGAGCCTAGGTGAGAAAAAGTGCTCCTCTGGAGCCTGTGTCACATGAGCCTTGACACGATGCCAGCTTTCCTAGAGCTGAGCATCTTCTAAGCCCTACTCTCGCCAAGGGATCTGCCCTTGGGCCATTAAATTTTTACAATAGTTGAAAAAAACCGGAGCACTCCTGCTCTCTATTTCTGGGCCTAAGTTGCTGGGACCAGGCAGGAGGACTTATCCTCCCAAGCCCTTGGCTCCAGCATTTATTGCTTCGTACCATGCAGTTTGGACACTTGTAGGATGTGTTGCAAGACAGAACTTTTAACTCCAGCCTTTATTTAATTTCACACTGAGTGAAGCCTTTATTCTACATCTTTCTTTCGTGGAGAGAAATGTGTTTGGTGTATATTAACTTTTTGTACTGTACCAATGGTTGGCATCGATTGGTTTCATTTTTCTGCACTATAAATGTTAAAACAAACAAACCGAGGTCCCATGTGGTGGTCAGGGATTTTGCCAGATCATTGGAAGTAGTGGGCCCCGAGAGGCTTTGAAAACCACCCAGAGAAATACAGTACAGAAGATTTGCACCAAGCAGGGATAATAATCTGTTCCAGAAGCTAGAAAATATTTTCCAGGAGACTTGGCAATTGTGGCTGGAGATGGAGAGAAAATGAAAGAGTGAAAGAAAGAGAGAAAGACAGTGAGAGAGAAACTGCCATTTTTTTTTCTGGGAAAAATAGAAATGTCTAAGAAAAAAAAAAAACCATTATCGCAGGGTACTTAGCAGCAAGGAGAAGTTTGGTCAGCAGCAGCATCTCCAGACATGGAGTTCTTCACCTACTGTGGAGTCCCAGCAGATTATAGCTGTAGGAAGTCTTTGTTTATGGGAGATAGGACTGATAGTTTAAAATTCAAACTAACCTGTACCAGTTTCTTAGACCACAGAATGAAAGTTAGGGAGGCCAACAACACTTTGGTCTAAGCCTCCTGAAGCCAGTTGAATTTCAGTCCTTGGGTTGGGCTATAAAGTTTTGGACAGTTATTCTCATAAGGAGCTAAGTGGCTGTCTAACAGAAGCTCACCATTTAGGAAGGCCTGGAGCTCCAATGTGATGATAATTTGACACGAAGAACCCACCACTTTCTTTGGTGATTTGTTTTAATGTTTATTCTCACTGTTAAACATCTGATTATTTTCCTCACTCGGATTTCTCAGGCTTCCGCTTTCAGCTATTGGCTTCTGTTACATATTTCTCTGCTAGATTAAGAGCTCTTCAATCCTTGACAACTTCCCCCAGGAGGGAGATATCCGCTGTAATCAAGCCACTATTTTTTTTTTTTTTTTTTTTACAAGTCTTTATTACACTCAACCAGCTGAGTTCTCCAAGTCTTTGCTTTGGCATTTTCCTCTAGGCCTTGCACAATTTTTTTTTGTGGCTGTTTTTCACACCACTCCAGTATTTCAACTATCTTCTAAAACTGTGGGCCTTGAAACAATCTCCCTGGTACCATACATAGGGATAAAACCGCATCCCTGATCAAACTGGATCAAGGCAGTAAGCTTTTCTGTTCTTACAATCTCTTTTTTTTTTTTTTTCAGTCCCTAGCAGAAGCTGATTTGGTTTCCAGCCACTAATGAGATCCTACACCCTTCAGTGTTTCGCTGGTGTGTCTTGCTCACATGCTCAGTCACAGTGATCATCTAACTCAGCTTCAAAAGAACATCAAGGTCCTTTATGAAGTTTTTACAGTCATGACAGTGTGGCAAAGTCAGTGCTGTCTCGGTCTTACCTGTGACCCATAGCTGATTGACTGAGACAGTGCAATCAAACTACCATCTTGTTGGCTCAGTCTGATCATACCTAAGAAATACAGAATAACTCTCTGCACATGCACGGCCATCTGAAAGGAACACTTTAATGAGCTTTTTGGAGTGGCTTCAAGCCCTGTGTTAATCCCTTTTGAAGAAACTACACAGACATTGTGTATCATTAGTCTTCTACAAGAATGCTATGCTGTAAAACAGTGCAGACTTCTAATGACTGTGTTCCCATCTAATTTCATTAACCTTTTTTTTTTTTTTTCCTTGCTATCCCATTTTTTTTAGCCTAGGATCCCCTGTCAAGCAAGCTAAACTGCAGTGTTGTCAAATGTCCTACTGGTGGCCTACTGGGGTGTTGGCTGAATGCTATGCATTGTTCTAAGGTCCTTCCAGTGTTTCAAGATTCATTGCAGCAGTATTTTGAGGCCTTATCCATCATCTCTGTAGGTCTCTTGACTGCAAGTTATCTAGGCTTTCTGATTTTCAAAACATTCATTCCGAGTCAGAGTGGTCTAATAGTCTTTTTTAGTTGTGAGATGGAGGAAGGCATATACTCACAGCAGCTTCTGCCTTCCGGACACAAATAAAAACAGTGTAAGTCTATTTGTTCTATGTCACTACAGATCATTGTCTCATCTTCATCTGCCAAGCTGCTACTTCCCTCTTCTTTATGTGTTGCGTCAAAGTAGTCTTATTGTTGCTTATAACTCCAGGAAGGCTGCCCTCTTCTATCTTCAGCTGCTTTGTACATAGGTCCCATATTATAAAGGCTCCATACTTTTATTGATGCTTAGTTAATTTCACTAGAACAGTGCTCTTGATGACTGGAGATAATTTTCTGGGAGACACTAAAGTAATCATATTGTCTAAAGTCTGGCATGTGAGCCAAGCTCTAGAAGAAACTCTCTTTTTCAATACAGAAGTCAAACTCTTTTATGATGTGCTTAGAATTTCATCAAAAACTGAAAACTTGGATGAGAGTGGGCACTGCAATGGCGTGGATCACTTCAGAACACTTTTCTATCCTGGTTTACTTCCTTTTAACTCAAGTTCAAATTCACTTGAACCACTTGAAGCACCAAACTACTTATTATCCAGCATAAGGAAAACCAAAAGATCTACCTCTCTGGACACAATACTCTTTTGCTGGAATTTTTTTTTTTTTTTTTTTTAGAGCTATATTGCAAGAGACTTCTACCTCTTCACAATTAAAAAAAAAAAAATTACCCATATCTGGTCCTTCAAGGCCCTCATCTGGATGTGTACACTGGAAACAGGATCAAACAGAAGAAGGACAGAGACAGTAAGGCTGACTGAGAGATAAATCAGTAAATTTACTTTATAGACACACAACTGTTTCCTCATATATTTCCATTGTATTTAGTGTACCTTCTTTTGATTTCTGAAAAGCCTCTGCCTATATTCTGCTTACTAGAACAATTAACCGAGGCTTGTACTTATCCTAAGACCTCTTAAATTAACACTCTGTATTATTAAAACTCAAAACAGTGTTTCCCAGACTATTTTCAGTGTTGACATTATCTTTAACAGTGTACAAACCTCTGATACTACTGCATTTAGACAGCATGTGGGACGCAGTGTTTGGATTATTACCTGTTATTTCACTGTGTATAGATTTGTTTGTTTGTTTTTTCCTTTTTTTCCTCCCCTATAACAAGATATAATTATCAGAGGTACACACAGAGAGAGTGTTTAAGTCCCCATTCTGGAAATAACAAAAATTGGGAAATGCCAAGTAGTGTCAAGAGATGACAAACGTGGTTCATCCAGTTTTCTGTGTGAATTGTGCAGGCTGTTTAGTGACGCCTCTGGCTAAATATTTTTTAGTTTCTGTTGAAATGGAACACAAGATTATCTCCTGTCTCCTGTAACTTGCATATCAATATTTTTTCTTCCTTGGTGATGATAGTTAGGGAGTTGTTAAATTCAAAACAGGAACATGACTGCATAAATAAACCAAAGTAATCCTAACCCATAGGGAATTGGTATCCAGGTACTCAGCCAACCAAAACTGAACATGTTTATGTAAGAAAAGGACTTGTATTCCCTGTTCTTTGCCAGGCCCCTTGGTAATTAATGTCCCAGTACAAAACTGTTCATTCACTAACACAACATACATGTCATGTGTAGCTCTTTCAAAGGTTCTGAGCAGTCCTAAACTCAGTAACAAGAATTACTGTGAGTCTCTCCAGGTCTAGCTGGAGACAGAAGGAGGAGTGTGTATGGAGTAGAAAGGGGAAGGCAGGCAGCACAGATTGTCCATTTCAGGTATGAGGTAGCTGAGAGCAAAGAGCCCATAGCAAATCCAAAGTAACAAACAACTTTAAACCCCAGTATGATTCTGTCTCCAAAGGCACAGGCAATATGTCATGCACTTGCTGACCCATACTGAAATGGCCAGGTAGGACCACTCAGACTCACACTCAGACAATTGGCTGGTTGATAGGATTCCATAAAGGAGGAATCAAAGCCAGAAATCCCTCTGAAATGCCAGCTTCAGCTGTGCATCTCTGTTCTTCCCCCAACCTCCTCAGCCCTGAAGGGAACAGGCCAGATGGTGATACAAAGCCAAAAAGCACTGTCTGAGATGTTTGCTTTATTGCTGAGAAATCAAATCATGTTTTGAAGCACAGATTTTGTTTGGGGCCAGCCAAATCTGAAGGCATTGAGGTTTGTCAGAGCCAAGCAAACTCTGTCCCAATCCTTTAGCCAAATATTTTGCACTTCCAAAGTAATCATAGGTCTATATCTGTAAACATATATAGGGTGTGTGCAGGACCTTGTAGCAGGAATAAGAAAGGAAGGGAAAGTTGCTTACTGTGTGACCAACAACGCATACTGTCAGGCAAATATGGTCTAAAGCAAGTCTGGAATTGAGAAGTTTATCTACTGAGCCTTTTTTGTTTGTTTTAAGAAGCTTTTGCCAGGGAAGATGCCATGTTACCAGGAAATGGCTTTTTGATGTGATATCTTATGTTCTGCTGAGTTCTTCTGGAAAAGTCAGTGGACTGGATGCCCAGCTCCATGAAAACAATTGAGACTAGGTCTCCAGATACAAAGGAGCTGCTTCCCATCAACAGACTACTTTTTAAAAATATTTGTGAAGGCACGGTAAGCATAAGCAACCCTGGAAAGATTATTGTTGTTAACGTTTCTAACCTGTTGACATACTTTTCTCAACATAAACCCCCTTATCACATCCTGAAGGAAAAAAAAAATCACCACATGAACAACCACTTGCTGCCCTCATATGACATCAGGCTGCTCTCCAAGCGAGACCCCTGGCACGGCGTGGTCCTACCAGGAGTCTGGCAGGGAGACATTTCCTATGCTACACTTTAGATATAATTTGGTTAAAGTAGGGAGGGAGAAATAAAGACAGGCCCACCAGCACACCTCCACTTGCTGTTTTAATTTCCTCAGTCCCACAGATGAGTGTAAACAATCACTGGCCAAGATAAGCATGGAAAGGAAAAACATACCAAAAGGCACATGGCTGTACTCAGGCTGCCTGTAAATGGAGGCCACAAGACTGCTCTCAGTGTCGCTTGTTTACCTCTAGCCCGTGTGGGTAAGTTGGTGAGCCCCACTGTGCTTGTATCAGCAGTTGCACACTAAGACACATGGACAGGAGTTGAGTTGACTGCCAGTGGAGGGACTGAACCGTGACACCACATCAGCCTCCCACTGCCACTGTAGTGCTGAATCCCAAAGCAGCTACAAACCCCATGGCTGACAGGACAAATGCAGGCCATTCATATTGGAAGAGGATCTGCCTGCAAGCTGCCATCTGCGGAGAGGTAAAGACATTTGCCCTGTAGAGAAGTGAGTGAAAAATATTCGTCTTCCCATGAAAGTACTGAGTCTTATTAGCAAATAATATGCAAAGAGATTTTGTATTGACTACAGCAAGATTTACTGCTTCACGAAGTGTGAGATTTTCTCAGCTGCACATTTTCTTGGGGCACATTTAACACATTTTCAGTAAATTATTAAAGTTCTAGAGGTTGATTTTGGCATAGGGTACTACACAATGCCCAGTCATTTTGGACAAAGCCATAAAAGCCTCTGTTCAAGATCAGTGCAGTCACGATGCCCATTGGGGAATTCGTGAGGAGAAAACTGCAAAGAGACGGGAGATTCAACTGGCACTTCCTGAGAGTAACACTGCTTGTGGTCATGTCCTCTTGCTTGTATCTTGCTCACAGTGAAAGAAGAGTTCTGAGCGCTTTCCTGTGTTTCACCATAACTGCATAGGTGTTGAAGTTGAAAGAGATGATTAGGTTTGACCTGCCTCATCAGGAGTCAGTGTTTCTGACAACTTTCTTTGGATAGCTTGCTCCAGTGGCTTCCTTGTCTCCTGACAATAAATTATCATTTTCACATGAACTTGGCAAATGTCAATTGCTTCCTTTTCAGTTTGGGAGGTTTTATATTCTCTTGAGAAGAGTGGCTGTTGTGTGCATGAGACCATTTCAATCCCACTGGTACCACAGAAGGGGCCAAATATGCCCTGGTACATGAAGTAGCGATGTTCACGATTCTTAGAAATAAATCTATTGCTCAACCTTGCTGACATGTACAAGAAGCCCTGCTGGGACATTTACAGATTCTGAGATAGTAGCTTTGAGGAGATTTTCCATGAGACACTGGATAGTCAGTGAGAAATGGAGCACTGCATGGCAAGGGACAGTTACCTCCACCTGCTCAGCAGAGAGAACATATGAAGGTGGCCACAGGCTGACAATAAGTTAAAGAAACAAATGACATCCATCTTCCCTGTATGGTTGCCTGTCAAGTCCGTGACTTCCAACTTGCTGACTGGAGCTAACATAGTGCTGGTGGGCAGATAGTCCCTGGAGCAATGGCTGAAATACAATGAATTTCCTAACTAGTTAGTAATTAAACAAAAGCAGCGATGCCTGTTGATCTGCTGTGTAGGGAACAACCTTGTCTCATTGTTGCTGCTGCAACTAGTATTTAAAGGGGCTCCAAACCAAACCCTGCTCAGTCACATCGACTGACACATCCATGATATCCCAACCAACACAGCAGCAAATCATAGAATGACCAAGGTTGCAAGAGACCTGCAAGATCATTTAATCCAACCATCCAGCTACCACCAGTATCTCCCCACTAGACCATGTTCCTTAGTGCAACATCTAAATGTTTCTTCAACATGTCCAGAGACAGTGACCCAACCACCTTCCTGGGCAGCCTGTTCCAGCATTTGACCGCTCTTTTGGAGAAGAAACTTTGATCAAGAGATCACTGGCCCTAAGACAGCTTCTAACATCCAGCAGCTTTTTTGTTATTAATGGAAGTAATGGGAATAGGAGCAAGAGTAGCTACACAGAACATTGTTTCTCTGGGAACAAGAAAAATGCACACACAACAGTGGTAGAAAACTATTTTGGATTCCAACAATGATGGAAACTAACATGAGTTTTGCAGAGGCATAAATTTTTAGTCCTCTAGGCTAATTACACCACTATAAAATAAAGCAATAAAATATGACTGAATTGCTTGAGATGGAACACGGAAAGGGGAAGGCAGGAGAAGTAAGAAGAAGGGCAATTACCAGGACATTGTAATAAAAAACTGTCCAGCTTTCAAAGTTTAGCATTCCTATCTGATAGCTGATCTAGCAGCGTCAGGAGGACTCCGAGCAACGTGCACAGCACTTTAAACAGTTAAGAAAGGGCGCTTGATTATGCTGTCCTTCCAGGCTACAGAGCTCCAGTAATTAAAGACATGCACACATGGGCAATCCTTAAACATTTATCAATACAGAGGGAACCACAGCTCCAGGCTCAGTCTCACCAGTGAGGTTTGAGGCTCCTGCATCCCTGGAAGCAGCAGGCTTATGCTGCCAACATCAGAACATGCTTTGATTGTGTTTCTAAAGCACAGGCTTGCTCCAGCTGGACTCCAGCTCTTCATTTCCAGAAGGTCAGTGATAGGCTGGAAAGACTGGATGAGGCAAATACAGGCACTTTCTCACTACTCCAAATAAAGGAGCATCAATTCCAGTGAACCAAAACTACATAGAGATATGAAGAGCATATCTCTGCATACTCTATATATTCTATAGTCTCTTGATATACTCTATATCTATAGAGATATCTATAGAGATATCTAGAGATATCTTGTGCTCCATGCAATGAGCAGAGTGTTTTCAAACACAAAATATGAAGATACAAACTTTTTAAACAGAAAACAGTTTCTGCATCAGCATTTATCCCCTTCTGCTTCCAGTGATCATTGGTGGGAACTGACAATAAGTTAAAGAAACAGAAGACTTTCATCACTTTGTATGGTTGCTTATCATAACATTGCTGCCATCTTTCCACAACATTCCCAGTCATCTCAGATAAACTGGAGGATGCTATGCTTGGCTTATTATTTTTTTCCCCAGGGACCACTGGCTGCTATGCGATCCTGGCACCATGTTTGTCTCTGAAGCCCAAACACAAAATAAGGCTGACAAGACCACTCTGAAATGCTCTGTCTTCATGCATGCAAGCAGAAGAGCTACAGACTGCAAGTGAGACGCTGTTAGCATAACGTAGCAATTGAACAGATCAATACAATGGGAAAGGCATTTCAACAGATGCGTGATGATGGAAGAACAAGCACGATAGAAAGGTATTATAAAGAAAGAAGATTGCTCACCTGTATCTGAAGGTTCCAGGTTCACAGGGGAAAGCTCCACCAAACAGGGACCTCCAGAAAGAAAGCCTCCTCAGTGGCAGTCAGCCCTTAAATGAGGTCTAAGAGAGGTGCAGCCAGGCTCCATCTCTTCCGGTCACACAGTTGAATTGCCTTCACCTGTGCTCCCAGGGCTGACTTTCCCCAGGTGCTCAGTCAGTGGTTCAGGCCATGACTCAACAGTTCCCATACATATAGCAACAGCATAATTAACATCCAACATTGTACACTGGAAAATGAGAGCAGGGTTAGATGGCCTTACTGAGGCAAACGTTTATAAATATCCTGCAAAGTCCCACTGGGCGTACAGCTTGGTGTAAGACCCTACTGAATGTTGAAACATCAGTTCGGCTTGCCTGATGTTTAGCCTCACATCTTTATTTATGTTTGGAACCACCCTCTGCTCTCCTGAGCACAGTTAGATTTTAACCATTTCAAGAAAGAGGCAGTCAGCATTTAGGCTAGCTCTAGAAGTTACAGGGTAAGGATAAAAGCCAGGCAATGTTTGCAGGAAGAGATACTGTGCATATTTTCATTTGCTTTTGAATCGTGCTTTCACTTTATGTGCCACTTCTTTTATCAAACCTCTTGTGAGTCCAAAACTAATTCACAGAGTGGGGAGGGAGCTTACTGAGGCCAACATCTAACTCTATGTTGCAGGTCAAGCTCTGTTGTTTTCACTCTGCCTGGCCATCCAGTAACATGGCCCTGCCCTCACAGATGTGCTATCCAAGGAAACTTCTGGGAGAATGCACCATCCAGGTCAAATCTGTATGTTCAGTGGACACATCCACACACTACTACTAAGTCAGCATTTGTTTGCATGTAAAGCATTAAGCTGAAGAAGCACCTTTTTCTTATGCTCAGGCTCAGAATGCAAAAATCTCTCCAAAAGACTTAACTGTGCCTATTAGCCTGCTCAAGATCAGTTTCCTCTCACTGATGATTTCTGTATTATAAAAGTATCGCTGTTGCTGCTGTGAGGTGCACAGTGCAGCAGCTGAAGACCTCATCTATGCTACTATAAACTGTAGATGTTCAGCGCTTGGGAGATCACATGCTAGAGCATGCTGCTGTGACCTGGCCACTGAATTAGTTAAAACAGGGTGTGTACTGCACCAGAAGGCAGATTGCTCGAGCTGTTGAGTTATCCTATCTCTTTTGTGCTCCAGGAAAGAGTGCTGGGTTGTATCCCACTTCCTCCAGTCAAAGACCTTGCTCTGCAATCCAGTCTCTGAACACTTATGTTTTAGCATTGCTGACCTCCAAACCCCAGAGAATTCACTCAGTGGATATTTCAAATGCTTAAGTGAGCTACAAGTAGAAGGAATGCAGGTACATGAACTTTATTCCATTCCAGGCTCCAGAATACTGACTGGTGTTGCCCAGCTGACTGGCAATTTGGGTTACATCATTCAACATTGCTTCAGAAGAACAAATTCACACATTGAATTTTGGCAATGTGCGCAAAAGCCCCCTTCCAAAAGATGTTGTCTTACTAGGGAGAAAGCAGAAAGAGGGGAGAGAAGTGGTCTTCTCAGTGATGATGCATCCCATGGTCTTGAGCAATCCCTGAGCCATTATCTCAGGATCTCACATTTCAAATACTGTAATAAATAGAACCACTCCTCAAGAAACTGGCAGACTGTGGGCACCTTCCAGCATCTCTACTGGGACTCTCAGAGCAGGCAACCTTTGGCAGTCTTACTTTGGATGGGGGAACCTTTTCCCACATCTGTAATAGCTCCATTTTTGACAGTGAAGATGTGTCTGGAGGGCCAGTATTTTCTTGTAAACATAAGTTGAATACTTTCATTATAGAAGTGACAAATTCTCTGTTAAAAATGTATAGTCTTCCCTCTCTAATATCCTGGTGGCTGGATCCCATAATCCACCTTTACCTTGCCTGTCACCTTCCCTCACTACAGACCTGGGCAGTGTCACGAACCAACCAGAGTTTAGCAGGCAGTCAGGCTATTTTGAGACCCTTCCTCCTTCTCTCCTCTGCTTTTCTCTCCTCTGCTATGCGTATAGAAGACCTCAGAGGAAGGAAACTGGCAAAGTCAGAGAGAGAAGAAAGGAAATTAAAATCTTCAGATCCCCCGGGCTAAATCCTTTCTTGCTGACAGGAGCAGGTCTGCTGTAGGACTCAGTGGGAGCTGCTCCCCCTCTGCCTGCTATAGGATGGGATGATGTGAGACTGTGTTACCTTGGTGGAAGCACATGTGAAATGGCTCAGGAGCAATGTCAGAATGCACTTCTGGCAGGTGAAAGCTCATCATGCCCCAGTGCTAGGGTCACATAATCTGGGGAGACATGGGGAGGAAGGAGAGCCTGTAGGACAAAAGGAGTGTCCTACACCTACTGCTCTTGTTAGAGAAATGTGCTTGTGAACCTGAAAGTTGAGAGACATCTAGGTCTGACAGTCTGCAACAAGCACTCATCCGTGGACCTGCAGAGGTAGCTTCCATTTGTCTACATAGCAACATAGGGCACTGGGAAAAACTAGCTGTTCACCACAGCACTTTCTTGGGCTTTTAGTTCTGACCTGCCACAAGCATTAAGCAGTTTGGCTGTTCCACTGCTAGCCACTACCACACCATCTGGGCACATACCAAATTATTTTTGATGTGAAAATGCTTCTGCTTAACTCATCCTTATTATCCCCCATCTAAGCCTGTGGCCACACCGTATCTTTTGTGATCAGCTTTGGGAGACAATACAGTCACAGAAAGGGTAAGAAAGAGCAGTGGGGGCAGAAATCCTGACTCCTTGATTGCTATTTGCTACCGCTTCTGAGAGGACACAGGACAGGCAATGTGAACTGCAGCAGCTACTCCATTTTCAGCTGAGGAGATCTCTTCCTCAGGTCTTGCACAGTGATCTCTTTGTATCCAGAGTAGGTGCAGAAGTCATCATATTTTCTTAGCATTGATTTCTCAAAGAATGAACTTTATAGAAACCACATGTAATTGGCTTACAGACCGATGCTACCAACACCTGCCATTCCTATTTATGTCTATTTTTAATATCTCTTCACACAGTGCTGATGCAGCAGAATCTGTTCTATAATATCCTTCCTAAGAGCTGAGCTTTGCCAAGAAATTTTGCACTACCACATGGAGAAATAAGCAGATATATCTCCAGAGGAAATGGACGAAGCCTTCTGCTTATTTCTGTGTGATTCAAAAGATTCTTTCTGACTTCATCTCACACAGGTACGCCAAGTTCCTATAAAAAGAGAAGAATAACCCTGAGCAGGTTGGCTGCCCTTGGACAAGCTCTGATGTAGGAAATGTGCCCAGGCCCTTGGCAGTGCAGCTCCTCTCAACGCATGACAGCTCTAACTGCTTGCGATTGTGAACAGCTTCTCTGTACCAATCAGTTATTTTCCCCTTGTTGTGAATGACTGACCTCTTAAGCCATTAGCTTTAGGACTGCCCAGTTATTCAGAAAAGGTCCACACTACTTCTTCTCAACCCAAATCCAAAACCTGGGCTCCTATCCTACGCTAATCTACACCACCTTAAATAGCAGGATTTATATGAGTGTTGCTTCTATATTTTAAAATTTAGATACAAGTGAAATGCTATGTGGAAGAGATCCACACTATGCATACAAATAATCTGTCTCCTTCCTGACAAAGCAGCTTTACTGAGTTCATATTCTGCATATGGTGAAGATGAGACTGAACCCCCCTGAGCTATTTGGATCATCTGCCTCAATACATCTCAGCTATGTGATTCCTCTTGCCTACTCCTGACAACAGAGTCTATCTTGCTTGCTATCCTCACTTTGCTGCTGCAGATAATTCTACATAGCTTTCAGATATCAGCTACAGAAACCACGCCAGCTTCTCTGTAGTTGCTTTTGCTAGTAGCTTGTCACAATTCAGCGGTGACAGGAAACTGAATTTCATCTCTGCATTCTGGAGCAAGTGAAAACACTATTTGATATTTAATGGACCTTTGTTCTTTAGCATGGAGCTGTTTACCATTGTATTTTGGCAATTTCTTTGGAGACAGCAGCACAAGGGGGTTGTTTCTGCGGAAGGCCAGAAATTCAGGGCTCCTCTTGCTTGTTTCTGCCACACCTGGAGGAAGATGCTTCTGGGCCTCATTACGTGTGGGTGAGTCCACATCTCTCAAGAGCCCATGCTCTGTAGTCAGGAGCTGTTGCAAGTATCCATTCTTTTCTTTCCAGACTACTTTCCACTCCTTTTCCTTCATGCTTCTAGCTGGTATTCAGACTCCCTCATATATCACCTGTGTCCAAGAGCACTTTTTAAGCAGCATCCAGGTGACCCAGGCCTCCAGCAGCTGTAAAGCTTTGTAGAGAAGCTGGTGTAACAGCTCTATGCCTCTTGCTTTGGCTTCTTCTCTATCCAATCCTCAAAATCAAAGCAAACCTACTCAACTGTCTCCCATTGCCAATTATTCCCACTCTGGGCACACTGTGCTTCTTCCACCCTGCTCCCTGTTTTGGTAGGAAATGCTTTGCAGGGTGTGCTGCCCAGTGAATAAGGAAGTTGATCCCCTAGCGCAACTCTTCCACCAAGTGGATCAGATGACAAGAAAGAAGAAGAAATTCAGGGACCAGCACCCTGCAGAGACATAACCACTGTCTGCCCCCGTCCTCTCTTCTGCCATTGCTGCAGACTCAGGGGCAGTCTGCCACATGCTAGAACTACAGTGAAGTGTGAGATGAAAGATAATGGAGAACGAGGAGTAAGCCCCCCACCCCAGCTCAGGGAAATAGATTATATGTATTGAGAGGCTGTGAAACATTTGCCTTTCAAAAGCAGAGGTGCTAGCACATTCATGCTTAAATTAGGCTCTGTTACCATACACCAGACCTTGCCAATCTTCATTACATTGCACGAGCTTCTGATTCAATAGTGCTCTCTGAGGCCTAGCAGGCTCTCCTGGTGTCTCCTGGCAAGCTGCTGCTTAGTGCATCATGCAGTAGCTTCATGCATGGTGGGAGAATAAGTGGCTGCTCTATTCAGATCCCATCTCACTTGCACTGCCATAGTCACACTGAGAAAGCTGCAAGCAAACCAAAAACACCTTTCAGCACAAACTCC